CCTCATCTGTGGTCTGCCCCTTGATCTCTTTGCATTGTATGGAGACGTCCGTCGTTCCATCGTCCGTCTTGGAGACGTTCATTGTGTCCAGCTCATTTTCATTTCAGTTTTGCTGCTTGTTCTATCGCGTCTACTGTCTTTGTTCTGGTTCTGATCCACTAGTTACGTTTTCTATCTCTAAGTGATACACCCAACATTTGTCTCTCCATCGCTCTTTGTGTCTTCCTTATCCTATCCAAATTGGCCTGTGTAAATGTCCATGTCTGTGTATATAAATGTCCAAGTATAGAGGGATTGTTTGATTTTTTAGAACGTAAGAAAGTTTGCCGAACGCTGCCCATCCCATTCTTACTCGTCTCGATATTTCAGCTGTTTGATTTTCTCTGTTAGCTCTGATTGCTTGTCCTAGATAGATATACTCATTTACCTGTTCTATTTTTTCTGTTTTTATTTTTATTGCCTCTTGGTCTTCCGTGTTTGTCATTACTTTTGTTTTGTTGAAGTTAATTTTTAGGCCTTTTTGAAGTGATTTTTCATGAAGTTCTTCTTCTTCTACGGCACTACAGCCCAAAATGAGCCTTGGCCTCCTTTATTTTTGCCTCCACCCTTGTCTGTCTGTGGCTGCTCTTCTCCATACACGGACTCCTAAAAGTGCTTGTGCGTCGCTGCTTACTGTGTCTTCCCAGCGCTTTCTTGGCTTTCCAACTGGTCTCTTTCCCTGCATTCTGGCGTTCAGTGCTCGTTTTGGTAGCCTATCCTCTCCCATTCGTATCACATGTCCGGCCCATTGCAATCTTTGTATTCTAATGAAGTCTGACAGGGGTGTTTCCTTATACAGTTGATAGAGCTCGTTGTTATATCGAATTCTGAAGATTCCGTTTTCCCTCACAGGTCCTAGTATTCTCCTCAGTACTTTTCTTTCGAATGTGTCGAGTTTGTTTTTGGATGTTTCTTTCAGGACCCATGCTTCGCTGCCATAACATGCTATTGGCCGAATTAAAGTTTTATAGATTCTCATCTTTGTATTTCGGTGGACACTTTTAGACCGAAATATATGGGAGAGGGCAAAATAGGCTTTGTTTGCCTGCGTTATCCTTTTTCGTATTTCTCCATCCTCTGCTCCATCGGCATATATTTCTACTCCCAGGTATGTAAACTTTCCAACCGTTTCAATGTCATCTTCATGTATAATGTTTTGTGGGATTATATTTCTTCTCGTCTGTACCATTATTTTTGTTTTTTCTGTGTTAATTTCCAGACCTAGCCTTTTCGTTTGTGTTTTTAACTCTGCGTATGCTTCCTGTGCTCCTGTTGATGTTCTACTCATAATATTAATATCATCGGCGTAGGCAGCCAGTTGAACCGTTTTATTGGTCAGTAGGTTTTCTCGTCCAGTTTGCATTTGCCTAACCGCATACTCCAGTGCCAGGTTAAACAATGTTGGTGCCAGCCCATCTCCCTGCTTTAGTCCCTGCGAGATTTTGAAAAAGTCTGTCCGGTTGTTTTGTATTCGTACACATGCCTGAGTTTCATCCATTGTGGCTTTAATGAGTCTAATTAGCTTATGTGGTATTGCTAATTCTGCCAATATATAGTATAGTCTGTCCCTTTTGACTGAATCGTATGCCTGTTTGAAGTCTACAAACACGTTGTGAACATCAATGTCGTGTTCCCACAATTTGCTCAAGACCTGCTTGACTGTAAATATTTGATCCATTGTCGATCTTCCCCGTCTGAAGCCCGTCTGATATTCTCCAATAATATTTTCTGCTAGTGGTTGGAGTCGCTGGTTTATAATATACGTGAGGACTTTATACGCTGTACATAGTAGAGAGATTCCACGGTAGTTTTTGCATTGGAGTTTGTCTCCTTTTTTATAGATTGGGCATACTATACTTTTCTTCCATTCGTCGGGTATTTTCTCTTCTTGCCATATTTCTTTGATAAGCGCGTGGATATGACTTGATAGGTGGTTGCCACCTACCTTATACAGTTCTGCTGGAATCTCGTCAACTCCCGGGGCTTTATTGTTTTTCTGGGCCTTAATAGCTTCGAGAACTTCCTCTATGGTTGGAGCTTCTACTTCAACTTCGTTCTCTTCTACATGGTTCGTACCCATTTCATCTTCCATATCTACTTGTGTTCCAAGTAGGGTCTGAAAATAATGCTTCCAGGTTTCTGTGACTTTCTGTTGGTCACTGATTATTTGCCCACTTTCATCTTTGCATAGGCTTGTTTGAGGTTTATATCCACTTTTTATCTTTTTTAGGTATTCGTAAGCTCCTCTAATTTCGTTTTTTTTTAAATTTTGTTCCATTTCTTCTATTTGTCCATTTTCATAAGCTCTCTTTTTGTTTCTGCATATCTTGTCTGCTTTCCGTCTTGCGACTTCAAATGATGTTCGTCTTTCCGTGTTCTTCTTGTTATGTACGTTTTGTGCGCTTCGTTTCTTTCTTCTATCGCTTGCCTGCACTCGTCATCAAACCATGTTCCTCTTCTCTTCTTTTTCTTGTTTCCCACGGTGGACGCTGCTGCTGTCAGCACTGCTGTTTTGATATTATTCCATTTGCTCTCTATGGAGTGCAGTTCTTGTGTCCTTAGCTCATTTGTGACTTCTTGCTCGAACTTCTCTCTACATTCCTGAGTCTTCAGTTTTTCCAGGTCTAGTTTGTTTGTTCTTTGTTGTCTTTCGTTTCTTTCTCTGTTAACTCTGCACCTAAATTTGGTTTGCAGTAAAAGATGGTCTGATCCACAGCATGCTCCTCGTCGTGTTCTCACATCAGAGATACTACTGGCTGCCCTTTTGTCTATCATCACATGGTCAATTTGATTGGTTGTGGCTCCATCTGGTGAGATCCACGTCATTTTGTGTATGTCTTTATGTGGGAAGCATGTGGAGCTTATAACCATGTTTTTACTGGTGGCAAAATTTATCAAAAACTCCCCATTCTCGCTTGTTTCATCGTGCAGTGAGTGTTTTCCTGTTGTGCCATAGAACTGCGGTTCCTTGCCTATTTTGGCATTCATATCACCCATTATAACCTTAATGTCATTTTTTGGCGCGTTGTCATATACTATCTCCAGCTGTTGGTAGAAGCTTTCCTTTGTATGTTGCTTCATGAAGTTCATTTAGCATTAATTCCAGTTCTTGTCGTTCCGAGGAGATCAGGAGTATATCATCCGCATATCTAAGGTGATTTAGGTATTTTCCGTTAATACATATTCCTCTGTTTTCCCAATCTGTTGATTTTATTATGTCTTCGAGGGTCAAGGTAAACAGTTTAGGTGAAATTATATCGCCTTGTCGGACTCCTCGTTTAACTTTTATATTATCCGTTATTAATTTGTCGTCCAGAATTACGGTCATGGTTGCGTTTTGGTAAATATCATGTATCAATTGTCGGTATCTTGAATCTATTCTACTATTGACCAGAGCTTCTTCAACCGCCCAGTGTTCAATGCTGTCGAAAGCCTTTTCATAATCTACGAATGCTAAGTACAGCGGAAGGTTGTATTCATTTAAGTTTATAGGTTATAGGTTAATAGGTCGTATTCAAGTTTATAGGTTAGTCGGTTGTTTATTATTCTTGTGAAGGTTTTATATAGTTGTGACAAAAGGGAAATAGGACGGTAGTTGTTTAGGTCTGTTCGGTCTCCTTTCTTATATATTAAGATTGTGTTGGGATTTCTCCATTGTTTAGGTATTTTACCTTCAAACAGACATTTGTTGAACAGTATTTTTAGCATTTTTTTATCGTGTCTCCTCCTTCTTTTAGCAGTTCCGCCAGTATTTTGTCCTCAGCGGCCGCTTTATTTCTTTTCATGTCGTTTATGGATTTTTCGATTTCATCTTCAGTTATTTCTGGTAATAACTCTGAGCCAACATTTTGTATTTTCCTCGAGAGATTCTGTTTAGATGATAGTGGTGGGTCATTTTTAGAACTATATAGGTCTGTGTAATATCTTTCTGTGATTTTTACTATTTCTCCTAGATCTCTTTCTTCATTTTTCTCAGCTTTAAGCATGATTAGCTTAAATTTATCAATAGCCAAATCAGCAGTATCTGTCTTTACAAGACACAACCTTTCTCTAAATCAAAATATACTACTTAATAATCAATCTTTTACATTTAAAAACCATGTCAAATACCTTGGCCTTATACTGGATAAAAAACTGACTGGAAACAACACATACAATATATGCTGGATAGATGCAACAAAGGTAGTAATTGTCTTAGAATGACAACTAAAGTGTGGTGGGGTTGCGATGTTGAAAGACCTTATTGTTTTACAGAGCTTGTGTAATATTTCTTCTATTGTTTATATTGTTCTGAAGCTATTTTCTTGTGGCATTGTAAATTAATTACTATTTATAACTGGGAATAAGCCACAATTAAAGATAAAAATACGTTTATTGACGTTTCAATTTCCAATTCGGAAATCGTTCTCAAAATACAAACAGCCAATATTGTTGAGTTGCGCTCCTGGGACGACTTTACCATTGTTTAAACTTTACTTATAAGATAGTTCATTCGATTACATGAAATCAACTTTAACTTGAGAATATCCGTCAGAAAAAATCATAGCATGTAATTCGTCTTTAAAAAGACAAACACATGACATGATGACAGTAAAATTCTCCTGTTAGTGATTCCATAGTAAATTATGAGGGAAAAACCAGGAAAAAAACCTCATAATACTATCCCGACATTTTACAATCTTCTATTGTTGTTAAGATATAGGAAAGAACTATTGATGTGATTGTTCGTCCAACTTTATTTTTTTAACATTGTTAAAAGAGACTCACATGTGCAACCAATTTATCATATCTATGGTAATTTATTGGGAGCAAAAAACTTTAACCGTAAGACAAGTTCATTGTTGGTGATTATTTCGTACGTGTATGGCTACCTTTACTATCGTATTTATAAATAACAAAGGTCATAACATTTAACATCAATTGACCAGCTTGAAGATAAAATTTAATGAAACAATAAGAGACAAAGTCTCACAACAAGACTTTTCCAGTATAACACAATGCATTATTTTGAATATTTGATGGTACAAAATAAAAATATTTTTAAATGAGTGATATAACATATAATACAGTTTTAGATTAAAATCATTTACATCTAGAAAGAGCAGATCTTAAGAAAGTATTTTTCCAAAAGTGGAAGCTATATTTCAGATATTTTACATAACAAAGAAACAGTCTACCAAAACTATTGAGTTATCAATATATTACTCACAAGTAAGTTTGATATTTTTCAATGATCTAGGAGAAAAATAAATTAATATTTTTTAACCAATGTGTCTCAACTGCAGGGGCGTCATTTAATAGGGGCACGAGGGGGCATTGGCCCCCCTATAATATTGGAATCAATTTGATTACTATAATGATTTATTTGTAATAATTAGGAACATAAATTCTGTAATACATATACAGGGTGATCCTTAAGTAATTGTACAAAAAACCATAGATTCTAGACTTTAAAATATTACGATTTAAGCCAAATTGCTTGAATAAAATGTTGATATTAAGAAAGATACAGGGTACTACTGAACAACAGGAATTATAATTTGATGCATGCTTTAATGAAGCTTATAGAGGGCGCCACATATGTGGCATACATTTACACTTAACTTTTTTCTCTTTAAGTTACTGGTGCTTGTGATAAAAAATATTAAAGATACATTATTTTAACAAAAAAAAGGTATACTTGTTAATAACCTCAAAACTCAACAGTTTTCGAGATAATCGCATTTTACAAATCAACTACATAATTCAGATTTAACGCAATTAAAGGCAACGAAAGAAAATTAGACAAAAACATCAATACTTCTGAATTTTGGTATAAAACGCCTTTAATGAAGTTAATAGTTGACGAAATATTAAATAAAATAAATATATTAGCAGGATAATTTGCAATAGGATGTGACAAAATAACAGAATGATTGGATTTTACATCAATCATTTTACGTTTTATATTAAATTAAACTCAACACCAAAACATTTTATTTATAAACCAAATTAAGAAATAGTTAAACTACATAACATTAAACTTTTTGTCAAAATAAGTGTTCGATATGTCCACCATTTTCTTTAATTCATTTGCCAATACATTCCATAAAAGATTGTCTCATATTAAGTAGCATCATTGGTTCTAAAGAAACTGCTGCAGTATTTATTATAAGTAATTATAAGTATATTAATAAGTTCTATTTTGAGATTTTTTATGAATTAAATAATTATATTAATATCTCACCACATGACCAAGGAATATGACTACCACGAACAATCCAACGTTCAGGAAAGTTGTATTTAAGTATGTTCTTACTGCCTTCTCTCTATAATGTGGTGGTGTACCATCTTGCATAAACCACATATGTCGCCTAAGTTTGATGATAATTCTTCCAATAAATCAATAAAATAATTACCAATGGTTTCAAACCATACGTTTATTTAAAATTCATATCATATGGTTCGGTACCATTTTAAATTATTTTTTACTGAAAATCGAATTACCTTCTAATTTGAATGGTGAGATTTATTTACATTTTTATAAAACGATTTTATTGATTTATTGAAAGAATTGTCATCAAACTTAAGGCGAAATATGTAATTTATGCAAGATGGTATACCACCACATTATAGAGAGAGGGTAGTGAGAACATAAAATACAACTTTCCTGAACGTTGGATTGTTCGTGGTAGTCACATTCCTTGGTCATGTGGTGAGATATTAATATAATTAGTTAATTCATAAAAATCCTAAACGAATACTTTATTATTTTATTATATTTATTATGTTTCATGTACCTTACAAAGGCATTTGACCGGGTCAAATTAAAAGACGTTATCCACTTACTGTATACAAGAGAGATACCTCTAGGAATAACCAAAACGACCAAAACAACATAATAAAAGTAAAAGTAGAAGAAGAACTAACCCACCTTATTGAAGCTGGCAATGGGATAAGACAGGGAGATTCCCTGAGTCATCTATTGTTTAACCTAAATATGGATGAAATAATAAAAAAGGATACCAAATGGAAGAAAAACAACTTAAAATAATCTGCTATGCAGACAACGCAATACTACTTTCTCAAAGTGAAGATGATTTACAACGTAAGCTGCACCAATTTAATATAACACCAGAAAATGTAACATGTTAATTTCTCCAACAAAGACAAAATGCATAGCTACAACAGCAAATTTACTAAGTTGTAAATTGAAGCTGGAAGGTCAGATAATAGAACAAGTGATGGAGTTTAAATATCTAGGCATGAGTTTATCTAGCTACGGAAAGCTTGAAACCGAAGTGGAAGACAGGTGAATAGAGCAAACAGAGCCGCAGAAAGGCTTTTTCGGAAAGAAACGAAAGGCATAATTTACCAAAGAGTCATCAGACCAATATTGACATACGCGGCAGAAACAACACCTGACACAGAGAGGACAAAAAGGATGTTAGAAACAGCAGATATGAAAACACAACTTACTGGAGGTACATTGAAAAACAGACAGAGCGCCCTGGCAACTACATTAAGGTGTGCATCAAATTATAATTCCTGATGTTCAGTAGTACCCAATTATGATTTTTTATACATAAATGTTCACAAACATGAAAGTTATAGCGAAAATTAAAATTTTAAAATTTCCACTTTAACACCTTGTATCTATGCCCATATATTTATGGAAGATTTTGAAACAAATATTGTTTCTAAAAAAAAATTTAAAACCCACAGTATGGTGTAAATACGTAGATGACGTATTCTCAATATGGCCTCATGGATCAGAGTTTTTGAACACATTCCTGAACGATATAAACGATAAACAAGAGACAATAACATTTACCATGGAAAAGGAATATAATAACACACGACCTTTCCTGAATGTTTTAGTCTCTAGGAACGATACTGAATGTGAGACTCCAAAAGTATGTAAAGAAAATCAACACACCAATAGATATTTAAATTACAGATCAAATCACAATATTAATATCAAAAGGGAACCGTTAAATCCTTATACGATGGAGCTAAAATTGCTTGTTCTAACGAAAATTCGTTCTTGGAGGAAAACCACCTGTAGTATAAACCATTTTTTCGTGATCTGCCAAACTTCTGCCCCATAAGTCATAATAGGCTCTACCAAGATTTGATAGATTGTCAATTTCGTTTCTTGTTTAATATCTTTAGACCATACTATAGAGTTTAGAATGTTAACCGCTTTTTTTCCTTGCTGCGTTCTCAATCAATCAATACTTCTGAATTTTGGTATAAAACGCCTTTAATGAAGTTAATAGTTGACGAAATATTAAATAAAATAAATATATTAGGAGGATAATTTGCAATAGGATGTGACAAAATAACAGAATGATTGGATTTTACATCAATCATTTTACGTTTTATATTAAATTAAACTCATACACCAAAACATTTTATTTATAAACCAAATTAAGAAATACTTAAACTACATAACATTAAACTTTTTGTCAAAATAAGTGTTCGATATGTCCACCATTTTCTTTAATTCATTTGCCAATACATTCCATAAAAGATTGTCTCATATTAAGTAGCATCATTGGTTCTAAAGAAACTGCTGCAGTATTTATTATAAGTAATTATAAGTATATTAATAAGTTCTATTTTGAGATTTTTTATGAATTAAATAATTATATTAATATCTCACCACATGACCAAGGAATATGACTACCACGAACAATCCAACGTTCAGGAAAGTTGTATTTAAGTATGTTCTTACTGCCTTCTCTCTATAATGTGGTGGTGTACCATCTTGCATAAACCACATATGTCGCCTAAGTTTGATGATAATTCTTCCAATAAATCAATAAAATAATTACCAATGGTTTCAAACCATACGTTTATTTAAAATTCATATCATATGGTTTGGTACCATTTTAAATTATTTTTTACTGACAATCGAATTACCTTCTAATTTGAATGGTGAGATTTATTTACATTTTTTATAAAACGATTTTATTGATTTATTGAAAGAATTGTCATCAAACTTAAGGCGAAATATGTAATTTATGCAAGATGGTATACCACCACATTATAGAGAGAGGGTAGTGAGAACATAAAATACAACTTTCCTGAACGTTGGATTGTTCGTGGTACTCACATTCCTTGGTCATGTGGTGAGATATTAACATAATTAGTTAATTCATAAAAATCCTAAACGAATACTTTATTATTTTATTATATTTATTATGTTTCATGTACCTTACAAAGGCATTTGACCGGGTCAAATTAAAAGACGTTATCCACTTACTGTATACAAGAGAGATACCTCTAGGAATAACCAAAACGACCAAAACAACATAATAAAAGTAAAAGTAGAAGAAGAACTAACCCACCTTATTGAAGCTGGCAATGGGATAAGACAGGGAGATTCCCTGAGTCATCTATTGTTTAACCTAAATATGGATGAAATAATAAAAAAGGATACCAAATGGAAGAAAAACAACTTAAAATAATCTGCTATGCAGACAACGCAATACTACTCTCTCAAAGTGAAGATGATTTACAACGTAAGCTGCACCAATTTAATATAACACCAGAAAATTTAACATGTTAATTTCTCCAACAAAGACAAAATGCATAGTTACAACAGCAAATTTACTAAGTTGTAAATTGAAGCTGGAAGGTCAGATAATAGAACAAGTGATGGAGTTTAAATATCTAGGCATCACATTATCTAGCTACGGAAAGCTTGAAACCGAAGTGGAAGACAGGTGAATAGAGCAAACAGAGCCACAGAAAGGCTTTTTCGGAAAGAAACGAAAGGCATAATTTACCAAAGAGTCATCAGACCAATATTGACATACGCGGCAGAAACAACACCTGACACAGAGAGGACAAAAAGGATGTTAGAAACAGCAGATATGAAAACACAACTTACTGGAGGTACATTGAAAAACAGACAGAGCGCCCTGGCAACTACATTAAGGTGTGCATCAAATTATAATTCCTGATGTTCAGTAGTACCCAATTATGATTTTTTATACATAAATGTTCACAAACATGAAAGTTATAGCGAAAATTAAAATTTTAAAATTTCCACTTTAACACCTTGTATCTATGCCCATATATTTATGGAAGATTTTGAAACAAATATTGTTTCTAAAAAAAAATTTAAAACCCACAGTATGGTGTAAATACGTAGATGACGTATTCTCAATATGGCCTCATAAATCAGAGTTTTTGAACACATTCCTGAACGATATAAACGATAAACAAGAGACAATAACATTTACCATGGAAAAGGAATATAATAACACACGACCTTTCCTGAATGTTTTAGTCTCTAGGAACGATACTGAATGTGAGACTCCAAAAGTATGTAAAGAAAATCAACACACCAATAGATATTTAAATTACAGATCAAATCACAATATTAATATCAAAAGGGAACCGTTAAATCCTTATACGATGGAGCTAAAATTGCTTGTTCTAACGAAAATTCGTTCTTGGAGGAAAACCACCTGTAGTATAAACCATTTTTTCGTGATCTGCCAAACTTCTGCCCCATAAGTCATAATAGGCTCTACCAAGATTTGATAGATTGTCAATTTCGTTTCTTGTTTAATATCTTTAGACCATACTATAGAGTTTAGAATGTTAACCGCTTTTTTTCCTTGCTGCGTTCTGTTTTCGATGTCTCTTTTGGTGGTGCCTTCTTTAGATATTATAGATCCGAGATATTTATATTCCTTGCATGTTTTTGTGTTTCTAATTTCTAACTCTGGATCTTCTTCGTCATCTCCTATTTTAAGAAACTCTGTCTTTGAGATATTCATATTGAGGCCCCATTTTTCATTTTCTTTCTTTAGTTTTCTAAACATGTAGTCCATGTCTTCCTCATCATTCGCTTTGACTACCTGATCATCTGCGAAAAGTTAAGTTGTTAGACATTTATCATTGCCTATGTCTATTCCCATTCCGGATACTTGTTTTTTCCACAGCTCTAGCGATGATTGAATGTATATTTTGAATAAGGTTGGAGATAGACAACATCCTTGTTTAAGCCCCTTTGTTATTGGAAATGATTCAGATATAAAGTTTCCTTCTTTAACGACACTTCTTGTATTTTTTACTAGACTTAGACTGAGTACTGAGATCTACTTTCGTCAATGTTTGAAGCAGTTTTTTCAAAGGTACCGTATCGTATGCCTTCTCTAAATTACAAACAATAGGTCGGTAGATAGATTCCTTGCCTTCCGTTTTTCGATTACCTGCTTCAGAACGAATATACTATCAGTGCACGATCTTCCTGCACGAAATCCATTTTGTTCTTCTATATCTTCGTATTCTGATTCTATTCTTTTTTTTATTTTTATTATTTAAAAAAAAACCAAAAACAAAATTTGTTTAATTTATTAATGTTTGTATTTTGAGAACGATTTCCGAAGTGGAGATTGAAACATCAATAAATTTATTTTAACCTTTAATTTTGGCTTATTCCCATTAAAATACTAATTAATACAATTTATTTTTTGTAGGTGGAAAACCAAAATGGAAACAAAAGCGATGACCATTGTTCCTAAATTTATAAAAAACTCAGTAGACATTTTAGGAGCAATTAATGATGTATACGATACATTGCAATTGATTGGTATAATCCCAGATGAAAACATGCAAAAAATGGAAGAAATTCTTACAGCTGTAGAAAAAAATTACGATGCTATTGAAAACGTGGGCAAGAAAGTTGACAGAAATTTTGCCGTGACAGTGGCTATTCACAACGTGGTTACCAAAACCCTATCAGTTCTAGAAAAGATGAGGTGGGAAATGCTACAAGGTTTTGAGAAAGTTTTTAATAGTCTACAAGAATTAAAAACAGAAGATAAAATCTCAAATTTGGTAAACTTTATTGAAGACTTTAACAGGAATGTTGAGATGCTGATCACACTATCCCCTGAAGAGCGAGTGGCGAAGTTAGATGGAAATGATGGGATTTTAAAACAGTTAAACAAAGCGGTGGATACAAAAGGAATTTTAGATAGTAACCTAAATCATATTATTAATGAAAAGCTAGCAATTCCAAAACATAAAAACGATGATAGCGCATTTGCTGCATTGAATATTTTGTACTATGGTGTCCAAACGTATGTTTCAGTTTTATGTTTTAATCTCAAGCAATATTGTTATCTTATAGATTATTATTACAAGAACGGCAATGTCTATAAATATAACGAGTCTTTTGACCGGCTACAATCATCTTTCTACCACATTAAACACAGACTTATAAGTACTCCAGGTAAAGTGCAACTAATTGGGAAAGTAAAAGATATTCTGAAGCAAGTTGCAGAGTTACGATTTGTCCGAAATCAGGCTAATGATGTATTCATTCTTTTGGAGCAACGCATACCCTATTTAGATGCAATATCAGAAAACGTCATAAACCTCATTTTACCCATCGATATTTATCAACCAAATAAGCTACTATCAAGTCCAAATTTTGAAAACTCTAAAATAGAAACGCCTATAAATGGATGGATTTCCAATAATACAGTCAGGTACGCTTTGCAATTTGAACACAATAATACCTATTCCAAAATAGGTGATTGGTCTGAACCAGTGACGATTCAAGATAAGGCTTGTCCACTTCTTAACATTCCAGTCGATTTTAAAAGAAGAACTCGAATTGTTTTTAGAAAATTTAACGATGATATGCCTGAATTTGTAGGAAAAATTAATGAGAAGTATTTAACGACTTTTAGAGACATTAATAGGGACATTTATAATGCAGCTATGGATTCAAATGAAGAACTAGCTATAGACAAAATTAAACTTCTGATGAAGAATGGAGGTGCCATAAATGAAACCTTTGAAGATAATAGACAACCAATTCATGCAGCGGCTCAAGTCGGTAATATTGAAGTTATTAAATTTTTACTAAACCATAAAAACGTGAGCGTTAATATTCAAGATGGTTATGGTTATACTCCGATATATATAGCAGCCGAAGCTGGGTACTACAATTTGGTTCAGTTTTTAATAGATTCTCATGCTAACGTTAACGTCAAGACTAAGCTTAAAAAATTTACTCCGTTACATATAGCTGGTTATAATGGAGATGAAAAAACTCTTAAGGTTTTATTAAAGTCTGAGGAAACAAGTATAAATGTAGTGGATGAAGAGGGGTTTTCCCCCCTTCATAGTGCAGTATTTGGTGGTATACATGTGGTAAAGTCTTTGTTGTCGAGTAATAAAACAATGATTAATGATAAATCGAAAGCCAATTTGACCGCTCTACATTTGGCTGCTATTAACAACTATGACGATGTGACAGATATGTTAATAAATAATCCCGACATTCAAGTAAACTGTGAGACGGACGGGAACTTTACACCTCTACATTTTGCTGCATCTTTGGGAAATTTAAGAACTGTTCAAGTTTTATTGAAACATAAAAATATTGATGTTAATGCAAAAACTATCGATAACTTAACAGCGCTGCATTTGGCAATTTCATCTAAAAGCAATGATGTCGTTCTAGAACTTTTAAAAAATGATAAGATCGATGTGAATATAAAATCAAGCACAAATGTTACAGTTCTTCATCTGGCAGCGGTACGTAATGAACATGAAATTATTGTAAAATTAATCAAAAAAGGAGTACTGCTGGAAGAACGGACTCAAAATGATCTCACATCTTTGCAATTAACTGCGATACACAATATAGAAAATGCTTTTAATGTTTTGATCGATAATGGGGCAGATATTAATTCTTTAACAAATGGTTCATCCGTATTGCACTTAGCATCCCAATACGGCCATGTTAATATAACTAGAACTTTATTTAAGAAATGTGCCAATTTTAGACAGTACGATAATTCAGGACTATTACCGATTCACGTAGCTGCGTTTTATGGCAAAATTCCTGTGTTGGACATCATATTAGAAGAATTCCCAGATATCGTTGACATCGTGAGTGGTGATAAAACTAAACTTTCGTCTTCTTTACATTTGGCATCGGAAAAAGGATATATTGATGTCATTCGATATTTAGTAGAGAAAAAGGGTGCCAATGTAAATATACTAAACGCAAACTGGGAGTCACCAATGCTGGTAGCTGCTAATAAGGGATATTTTGATGTTGTAAAATACTTTTTTGATAGAGAAGGAACAAACATTAATCAAAACAATATATATGGTGAATGTCTTTTGCATTTGGCATGTCTGTCAGGAAGTTTAGATTTCGTCGATTATATTATACCAGCATATAACGTAACTTCTCAAAGAAATTCTTTCGAGGATTCGTCATTGCATTATGCAGCTTTATCAGGTAACTTAGATTTGGTAAAATATATAATTGATAAAGGAGTTAATGCAAACACAGAAAATAGAGGATTTTACACTCCCCTAACATACGCAACTTGGTACAACCATATGCATATTGTTAAATACTTGGAAACCAAGAAGCCTGAGTATATGACCGATCGAGCAATAGGGAATATTCTTAAAGCGGCATCATTATCAGGTGATCTGGAAATGGTAAACTATATTTTCAACAGATATGGCTTTAACGAATATGCTTTCGCATGTGCTGCTGATTATGGATTTTTAAATATAGTTAAGTTCTACATACAAAAAAATAGTAGTCTACAATTTCATTACAACTCTCTTCCAATCCTTCATCGAGCGTCCAGATCAGGAAATCTTGAGCTGGTAAAATACTTAATCGAAAAGAAAAATGTGCCAATTAATACAGAATTTTCGATAATCAGATTGACACCTCTTAGTTTGGCTATTTTATCAGGAAACCTGGATCTTGTTAAATATTTTACAGAAGAGAAGAATGTTACCATTCACAATCCGTATCGATATACCTTATCTTCGCTGAGCTTGGCTGTTGCTTCAGGAAATTTGGAAATGGTTAAATATTTTTTTGAAGAAAAGAAAGTTTCCGTGCAGTTTTCGCACGGTTGTTCGAACGATGAGCAAATTAAGAGCTTAGGCACATACCATTCAATTGGTGTGTACACAGATTTATCGCTTAATGACTATATTGGATTTTTTAAGAACGGATTTGGAATGCCAGCTGTTCTTGATTGTGCTACGGGAAGAGGCTATGTAGACATTGTTAGATATTTTCTCGATGAAGTACACGTTTCAGTTGATTTCAACCGCCTAATGTTTCGCGCATTAAAGGGTAAAAGGTTGGATATGGTAAAATATTTTGTAAATGAAAAAAAGGTTGATATAGACATAAAAAATACAGAAGGAATGACGTTTCTAAATGTAGGTGTCGGTGTTTTTGGAAAATCAGTCTTCTATGGCGCGTTAGATCGATTTAATACAAAAAAATCGAAATCGTGTGAAAAAAAACTGACACAAATACAAATAATTAAACTGAAGAAACGCTCAGTTATTTCTGATACATCCAATCGTCAACAGGTTCGATTAAATAACAACGTTGAAAATTGTTATTTTGTTACTAAAATTAACAATGCTCTACAGTGTATTACTTCTTTTATTTATCCTAGAATAAAAGCAAATACTACCAGCAGAGCACATGCTACAGAACACAGAACTTACGATGTTAACAGCAATCTACTGTTACTGGACCTAGTTGTTAGAAAACTGAGTGGAAAAAGGTGTATTTTAAAGAATAATATGGAAATTTCAACAACTGATGCTGAAGGATGTGCCTTAAACATCATAGACACAGTTGAAACGATTATTAATTCTTCTAGTGATGATTTGTTACAGGATATAAATTTAGATTTTTTTAAAATGTATATAGAGATTAAAAACTGTTTGGTTAGAGGAGAATTGTTCAAAATTGAAGACATCATCTTTTCCAATTTGGAACAATATCTCCCACAAAATACAACTATAAGAAATGTTCTTAATGAAACGATATATAATGAAATTAACAATATAATAAATAAATCTTAAAACATCTTAAACTTGTTTTAACCCTACAGCAGGCGCTCCGACTACCGTTTCATAACCGGGCGCGCTGTGTATTTTGTACACAAAACACATTTTACTTGATTTTACCAAATTTAGTGCGTTTTAACAAAATGACAACCACGATTTACAAAAATAGTTTATTGTTACATAAAATAATAAACATAAAACATGTACCTACGGGTTACTTCACTCGATTTCTTCTGATTGCTGCCGTTCATTGTTCTTACATTTTACGCAGGTAATTGTGGTTTCTGAATGCATTTAAATACAAATATTCTACATAGCCCACATCTAACTGTTGTGCTGGAATTTTTTGAGCCTGGACATATTGCACAATGTCCACGTTTTCTAGAGCTTTGCACTTCTGTTCTAGTAGGTTCTTCACATCATTTATATTTCATTAGAGAACCTTGAATATCCTGAGGAAGATATCGCATTGTCGCTCTTTCTGAAAGATGTACTTTCATTAAACTCAAGCTTAAATTCTTTAGAAAAATTTGGCGACATATTTTGGGATTTGTTTTATTGACAAAACAACACCTGCGCGTTGATACCGCCATATCCATTAGAGAAAAAATATAATTAGTGGCCATCTTTGGTTATTCTTTTTACAGAATATGATGCACACATTTGGTCAATAGTATCCACACCGCCTTTTGTGGCATTATAATCTAGAATAATTTCTGGTTTTTTAGTTTCGACGTCTACGGTGGCAGTGTCATGCATCGTGGATAAAAGTATGACCGACTTACTTTTTTTTGGAACAAATGAAACCAAAGTGACATTTTTCTGGAATCCAAAGAGTGACGTTCCCACTTCTTTTTGTTTTTGGGGTAAAAATTCAATAGGTATTTCCCTTTTGTTTTTTCTCAAAGTGCCAATTGTAGTTATTTTATTTTCCAAAAGGGAAATAGCTAAAAGATAACTGGTATACCAATTATCGGTTGTCAAATTGCGATTTGAACCTTTTATATAATCAATAAGCCTATCTATAATATACCGCCCGTGGCGGTCTCAGCTTGCGTAGAGGAGGGACTGTGAACTGAGTAGGGGTCCTTCAGCATTTTACGCAAGACAGACTGGGCGGGGAAGTCCTCAACCCCGACACGGCGCGTCCCAATGGCTGATAGGGAACGATCCTGTAGATATGCAGGACAGGTATGAATAAGGCTTAGCCAAATAAATACCCGCGGATCAACTGAGGACATGACACAGGTCAGCAGCTGTGTTATTAGTGGCCCGTGGCTGAGGAATAAAATTCCTGACAGGTGCGAAACCACAGAGTCGCAGGCGGCACTCAAGTAGATTTAACCGGCTGTGATACTGCGAACACTCACCAACCCGTCTGGCAAGCGTGGTGTTTTAATGCCAATATACCCCTTAAAAACGCGATGTCAGTTTTAAAACAAATACAGATCTACCCCAGGTGAGTAGGATGCGTCCAGAATCTCACACTGATTTATCAGTCTGTTCCAAGGATTCTGGGGGGGACAAAAAACTGACTATACGGAAACCCAAAAAACCCATAACTCTCTACGTTAGTACATACAATGCCAGAAGCCTACTGTCCGAGGAAAGATTCACTGAAATGGAAACTGAAATGAATAAAATAAAATGGGATGTCACAGGTATTAGCGAAGTTAGAATGAGAGGTGAAACTTTGAAAACACTCAAATCAGGGCATATATTCTATCAGATTGGTCCTGAAACTACATCAGTTGGAGGCATCGGTTTCTTTGTCCATAAAAATCACGCGAACAAGATAATAAACATCAAAAGTATATCATCTAGAGTGGCATATCTTATTCTGAAGCTGAACAGTAGGTATCAACTCAAAATTATCCAAGTATACGCTCCAACAACAGACCATACAGACGAAGAAATTGAAATGTTTTATGACGATGTATCCACTGCGCTTGATGATTCTCGTACTCAATTCACAATTTTATGTGGCGATTTCAACGCAAAAATAGGGGTAAAAGAAGCAGATCTAGAAACATCTTTAGGACAATTCGGTTCCCCAGGAAGAAATGATCGAGGAGAAAAGCTACTAGGATTCCTACTCCAGAATAACTTATTCAACATGAACAGCTTCTTTCACAAAAAGATGTACAGAAGATGGACTTGGGAAAGTCCAAACGGTAGAACAAGGAACGAAATCGACTACATCATAAGTGATCAAAAACAAATAATTAAAGATGTAACAGTACTCAACAAGTTCACCACAAACAGCGACCACAGGATGATACGAGCGAAGGTTCAAATCAATATAAAAAGAGAAAGGAATATAATGATTAAAAATAAATTTCATGGTATCTGGACACCCCATTAGATATCAACCAATATCAGACACATATCAATAATAAGCTTCTATTGCAGGAAACCTCCGCTAACGATATTAACGACTTGAATAACTGCATCATAAACGCCTTACAAGAAAGTCATCGACGGCACTGTCCTAAAAGAAAATCAGATAGTAAAATAAGTCCATATACTGAAACGCTCTTGGATCAAAGAAGACAAATGAGAAGCGATAAGAATGTAGATAGCAACATTTTAAGAAAAATTAACAAAACTGTTTCGAAAGCAATTAGGAGAGATTTAAGGAAATTTAATACCGATTATATTAAACGCACCATAGAGGAAAATAACAGCCTAAAAGTTCTACGTAGAAAGCTAACGAATGGGAAATGCGAAATTCATAAATTAAGAAACAAGCAAAATGAAATAATATCACGTAGAGACGAGTTAATACAAGTCGTCGAAGAGTTTTACGAGGACTTATATAGAAGTAGACGAGAAGATAAAACAGGAATACAAACAGCCATTTCAAAGAAGATCAAGAATCAAGGTTCCGAACTAATGCCAGAGATAAAGCTAGATGAGATTCGACAAGCATTAAGAAAAATGAAAAATAACAAAGCCCCAGGAGAGGATGGAATCGTAATAGAAGCTATCGTAAATGGAGGAGATATACTATTAAATAAATTAAGGAAACTATTCAATCTATGTTTGCAGCAAAGAGAGGTGCCCAAAGAGTGGAACAATGCTACAACCATCCTTTTGCATAAAAAAGGAGATAGAACGGACCTAGAAAATTATAGACCTATTAGCCTGTTGAACCACATATACAAGCTCTTCACTAGGGTAGTGACATCAAGATTGGAGAAAAAATTAGATTTCTACCAACCGAGAGAGCAGGCAGGATTCCGCTCAAATTATGGTACCAATGATCACCTCCACACAGTAAAGACACTCATTGAAAAATCTATAGAATATAACAAACCTCTTGTTCTCACTTTCATAGATTTTCATAAAGCGTTCGACACGATCGAATTAGACAGCCTTATAGAAGCAATGAATGACAGCAGGATTGACCATAGGTATTGTGAGCTTATTTATAATATTTACAAAAATGCCACTATGACTGTTAAAATAGACAATAAAAACCCGACCAATAAAAATAAATCGTGGAATAAGGCAAGGAGATACATTGTCGCCGAAATTATTCATAACGGCATTAGAATATGCCTTTAAGATGATCAATTGGGACCACAGAGGAGTAACGATAGACGGCGAAAAGCTTAACCATCTCCGTTTCGCAGATGACATTGTCCTTATCACAGATAATTTAGGAGAAGCTACAGATATGTTAAACGAATTGGATTTTGCATGTTCGAAGGTGGGCCTGAGAATGAACTTGACCAAAACTAAGTTTATGACAAATTTGGTCCCCAATAACCATTTGACTATTCAAGACAAAGTGGTAGAACTGGTGGAGAAATATACGTATTTGGGTCATGAAATAAGAATCAGCAGGGATAACCAAACATGTGCGATCCAAAGACGAATTACTCTAACATGGGCAGCCTTTGGAAAACTGCGAGACACACTTAGGGCCAACATACCAATCAGCCTCAAAAGAAAAGTGTTTGACCAATGCGTCAGGAGACGAATGGAACGGTCTATGCTGGGAGTGTCGTTGAGGGACCGAATAAGAAACGAAGATCTGCGAAGAAGGACGAGTATTACTGATGTTGTGGAACGCATAGCGGAACTAAAATGGAACTGGGCAGGCCATGTAGCGAGAATGCACGATTCACGATGGACGAGCAAAATTACAAATTGAAGGCCAAGAGCAGACAAACGCAGTAGAGGAAGACCACCTACACGTTGGGCCGACGACATCAGGCGTATCACTAAAAATTGGCAACAAAGAGCACAAAATTGTGAGGAATGGAGGAGTTTAAGGGAGGCCTATGTCCAGCAGTGGACGTGATAAATAGAGGCTGGATGATGATGATGATGATGATCTACAATATCACTGGGAGAGTTTGATACAGCATAAGGCCCCTCAGGTTGTCGTCCACAATAAACCTCTAAATTTCCAACAAAGTATGTTTGTGCATCGCCCAAAATGAACAGCTTGATACCGTATTTTGCTGGTTTATTTGGTAAATACTGGATGAAACTACAACGTCCTCTAAATCCCTCTAGTTTTTCGTCTATTGTAACAAATTCACCAAGATTATAGGAATTTTTACAGTGACTAACAAATGCGTCCAATATTTTTCTAATTGGTGCAAGTTTGTCATATATTTTCCGTTCATGTCTTGTGGTTTTGTCATCAAAACGCATTGAACGTAACAAAAATAAAAATCTTTTGTAACTCATTACAGCTCTAAGAATTTCTGTTCCATGTTCCATCAGATGTCCAAAGTTCAAGTGCGTTAGTATGGTTAGCCTTTTTAGTGCCTTGGAGGTAAAGCACTCCCAGTAACGCCATTATTTCACTTTTTGAAGTATGTTTCATATCTCGTTCTCTTTTATATTGAAACAGATTATTTTTTACTATCAATGAACAATTTATTAATTTGCGCGATGTTCTCTAATATATCAGAATCTATAATTTTTTCAAAAGCTAAAAGTTCTGAGGTCACTTTTGAAGCCACTGTCTTTGGTCCTGGAAGTATTTTGATAATATTTTT